CACTACTTAGTCTCAGGTTTTCCAGCAGTTTTTGATTTGTATCTAGTTATCTCCATTCTCAGACATAGGAACTTGTGTCAGTTGATGGCCGACCATCTGATCCAGCGTCCCCTTGCAGTTCAGGCCACATGCACAACCTGACTAGGGTTGCACTGGTGTGACAATCCCAGTCCGTGGACCTATGTCCCCAGGTAGTTTAGGGTACAGGCATAATTCAGACACAAACTACAAGATCTACAGTTTATGAACCACCTGAATCTATGTCTCCAGTCAGTTCAGGACACATACAGGAACCAGATGCAGCCCAGATGGGTATCAGTCACAGACTTCCCCAGCCTTCGACTCACTAGGGGGTCTGGGCAAAGGCAAAGCTCAGACTCGAACCATGGGTCAGTGGCTCTTGGAGCACTCACTCGGCACAGTTTCTGTGGCATCTAGGAGAGTCTGCTCACCCTGTCTACAGCCAGAGAAGTCCCTGGGGCTTCTGAGTAAAATCCTCCTCTGTGCCTCAGGAGCAGGGAGGCCAGGGCTCCATCTGTAATGTTGGTGGGGTCCTGATTCACAAAGCTCTGCCCTCAGGGAGTAGCTCGGAAATACCTGGCTCTCTCTGCATGTTTCAGCTGGTAACTGTGGCAGTGTGGGGCGAGCACAGACTTGAACCCACGAGTCCAGCAGCTCCCAGATCACTCGCTCTCTCAGCACAGGTCACGCAGGGCTGAGAGTCTGTTCGCCCTGCCTGCAGCCAGAGAAGTCCCTGGGGCTTCTGAGTAAAAACCTCTTCTGTGCTGTGGAGCAGGGAGGCCAGGACTCCATCTGTAATGTCGACAGGGTCCTGATTTGAGCACCAGTATTTTTTTAAAAACAATCTCTTTTGTCTGTTTAGGCAAGATTTTCAAAAGTGCAGTGAATAGACAAAAAGGATTGATTTTATGATTGAGCATACAGTGCTAACTTGCCTTTGAAAGGAAAAAAGGGCACGTTAGGATACAGTGCTACCAATGATACAGTTTTAACTCAAATTCCAGATGTGGGCTTTTAAATTCTACTGATGTGAATGATGAACATCACTGGGCCTGAAATTTCCAAATATCTGCTTATACAATTTGGCCACTCTCCTATGTTTTCTAGTGGTATTTTCACATTGGTAAGTTACATCATTCACATGTAGAGTAGGTACTGTATCCAGTGGAGTCTTAGTTTTCAAGAAATACTAGTTTTGTCTGTAGCCCACCACACTTTTCCATTTAACCTAAACTTTCTACTACTGATTACTATCACATATTGCTATTTTGTATAATGTACATTTAAGTTATTAGGTAGTAAACTCATATACCCTGTATTATTCTTATTTTTCTTTAAAGGACAGATTCCCCAGCCTATAATCCTGTTATGCTTTTCTGTGACAACTAAAGTCCATATTCTTTGTCAAAGACCACCAGGCATACAAAAGGCACCAAATTCCTCCTAGTACAGTATTTCTTTCACTCTGTTGAAACCACCTTTCTGTCCTCCTGTCCTTTACCCAAACCAAGTTTCCTCTTAAGGAAGTACAGATGAAGAGAGCTATCCTTCTGCATGGAAACATCATCCCTCTCACATCGCTTTCACTTTTAGGGCTGCTCAGACATCACCTAAACAGAACAGCCATCTTTCACTGCCCATGTAATACTGGCCACCTGCCCCAGTCACTACCCAATTTCACTTTCTCCCCACACCTCAGTAACTGACTTTCTTATTGTACATATATTGTCTACCCATGCCTCCTCTAGGAAAAAGGGTTGGTGCTAGGGTGTGGGTTGTTTTCATAGCACTGTATGCTCTGCATCTGGAACACTGACTGGCTGCTCAATAAACATTTGTTTCAGTCTACTCAAAACTAGTTAATTTTCTCCCAGTTTTCCAATTTCTTCTAATGCTGTTTGTTGACCCAACATCAGCGTTCTTTGCAGCTCTTTTAGACTGTAGCTAGTCAGAATTAAAGATATGACATATAGAGTATAAAAATGGCAGAATTCTAAAAGAGACATTCTAATATCTGTCATAAAGTGAGAGGTAACTTCAATTTGGCAAAAGTTGTTTTAATACTAAAATACCTTAACTATAAAGTAATTTTTGCTATTAACTTAAATTATATAAGAGCTAATTCTACAGTAGGGAGTCATGATTCATTAGTTACCAAAATATATATGTGTCCCCAGAAACAAACATTTAATGAAATTGTGTATGATTTTATTATAAAAGATATCCAATCATAAAATACAGGTGAATAAATGGTGGCCCAACTGAACTTGCTGAAGTTAAAAAAAAAAGTATTTTTGAGTGTATCTAAAATATATACTAGGTTCTTAGGGATATCACTGAGATGACGTGAAGAAATGTTATTTTGAAATGATTGAGAACAAAAAATGCAGACCATCATTTATGTATCACTTTCCTGTGACAACTAAAGTCTATATACTTTGCCAAAGCTCACTAGGCATACAAAAGCCTTCTAAGAAATTAAAATTCAATTCTTCATTGTAGAAGACATAATTTTTTTCTATTTAAGTAGGCATTTTGCAGTTTCCAGGGAAAGTGATATAAAATTATCTGAGATAAAGAAAAAAGCAAACTTTCAAGGTACCTCTACTGTGTATTTGGTGTCTGGTGCTGTTTCTATGCAAACTTAAGAATAATAACCAAATACTGAAGTTGAGAATTGTTGTCATTTTAATGAATGTCAAAATTTTACTTTCCCTGGAGTGCTGGGGATCCAACTCCCTGCTCTATGAATGTTACAGAAGTGGGCTACATCCAGTGAGCTACATTGCTAGCTCTAAACATTCCATTTACTAAGACAGATGGAAATGAAAATTTAATTCTCATATCCATAAACATGAAACAAAAAACTCTACGCTCACAAAGTATTTTTCAATATCTCAGACTTATCATTCTGCTTATCATTCTCCTCTACCCACTTGCAGGTTTCTCCTCATATTCCACTGTCTATATCATTCTCACTTTTAATTCTGCTCCCAGAATAAATTCATTAACTTCGCTGGGAAATTCATGCCATTTTGTTACATTTACATTTATCCTCATCTATTAAAATAAATGTGCATACATGGGACAGAAAGCTAACTGTTGCCTCTGAACTGTATAAAAACCTAAATGGAACTAAGTAAGGTGGGAGTAAATTCTAAGAGATAGGTCTATGTTATGGATGAAATATAAGATGCATTCTGAAAAGGTTTTGCTCAAGAACTTAAATTGGCATATGTACCCCCTCTGAGTCACTCTGAGCTAGGAGTTAGCCAGATGCTGCCTTACACTCTCATTTCCTACTTTTGTTTCTTAATCACCAATAAATAGAGAATAAATACAGGCTTCCTTTGTATTTGCAAGAGCCAAAGTAATGCACATCATATTAGAACATGCCACAAATCATAAATAATTATATATTTGTGTTTCTCCTTTTTTATTATTACATATACAACATATTACTCCTCTACTAATTTTTTGTAAAAATCAGTCAGAGGTTTACTTTACATCATCAAGCAGAGTAAATTTTCACAGATGCTTACATGCTTTGTATGTAAAGGTATAAGTCATAGATTTTTCATTCTTTAATGAGTTTTGAATATACTGAAGTTAAAAAGGCATGTCCATCACAAGGCTTAATTAGTCTAACAAAGATACCAAGAGCCTAACTAAAGCTAAAATGAAGAATAACTTTAAGACATTTCCTGTGTAGTAATGAAGTAAATATTGCCACTGAAATGAAATAAAAGGGCCAATGGTACTCATACATCTTTCTGATAAATATTTTCTACTCCACCGGACTTAGTATTTATTACTCTATAAACCCAGCTTTTTGGGAAGATGAGGGAAGAGGATTCCAAGTTGAAGCCCAGCCTGAGAAGCTGAGTGGTATAGAGCGACCCTATTTCAAAATAAAATTTTTAACAAAGGGGTAGGGATAGAGCTAGGTGTCAAGCACTTGGGTTCAAACCCCAGCACTACAAAACAGAATAATAACAAAAACGATAGCCTTCATTCAAGAACCAATTTGTTATGCAGATTGGTCGCTTTCCAAAATTATAGAGATAAAAATCAAACCTTTGGTCTTTTCTCTCCAGCAGTTTCGTTGTACTTTAACATTCTTAGCAGGATTAACAATTGGGCAGGATTTTACTGCCAAGAGGGGGGAGAAAGGAGAAGATGGCAATAAACATGCCAGTGTTGGCAGGGCCTGGAACTTGAACTCCCAAAGCTCTACATTCTTAATTAAACTCTAGATTCATGTTTTCTCTTTTGAAGCTTTTAACCAGTATCTCATAAGCTCATGATCTACTTCACCTGTCCATTAGAACAGGCAAGAAAAAATCTGGTAAGTGAGGGAAGCACGGCTGGAAATACATTTGTCAAAATGGAAAACATGAAGTTACCAGAACTCGGTGGGTAAACACTGAGGTAAACAAAATCTTTTCTGCACATCTGACACCTTGCGCAGTTATTTAAAGCTAAATAACTTCCTTCCTCGATCCTCTGTCTTTCTGTGCTCAAATTATTGCAATGAATAAATAAGAGAAGTTAACATCAAGAATACCATATAAGCCAGGGATGGTGGCACATGCCTGTAATCCCAGCACTCAGGAGGCTGAGGCAGGAGAATAACCATGAGTCTAAGGAAAATTTGTGCTATATAGTGAGTTCAAGGCTGGCCTGAACTGCATAGCAAGACCATGTCTCAAAACAATCACCACCACCACTGCTGTATAAACTCCTATGGCACTCTCTACTTGAATTTACATAAGAAATCCTCAAGTCCCTGCCACAGGTTCCCAGCCCCATGAAAGCCAGCTCCTGGCATGAAAGAGCCTAAAGCCACAGAGGACCCTGGAGCTTCAGAAGGTAAGGCCTTCACCTGAGGACAGAAGTTGTCCCTACCTCCTTACCTTGGGGCAGTGCCCAGTCACTGATGTGGTGCAGGTGGTAATCATTCCTGGTTTCCACGAAAAACTCCTCAGTTTTTTGGGAAGCAAGTGCTTCCTCCACCACATCTCCAGTTACTGCCCCACAGATCTCAGATTGGCAATGTGGCTCCACTGGACCCTTGGGCTGGCCCACCTTGATGCTGGAATTACAGGCCCTGCAACAGGTTGCACTGTTCCCCATGGGGTACCACTATGCCTTCACTCAACTCTACTCAGTGAGATCAGCAATACAGAGGCAGGCTCACCTGCTCTTTGTCCTGCTGCCCCTGACCAGCAGACAGGCCCTCTCACTTGGCCACCCTTTCCTCAACCTCTCAAAGCTGATTAGTCTTCTGAGAGACTATAATATGGTTTTTTAAAATTGTAGAGCTCTCACAAGTGTTGAAAGGCAGCCACTATCAAGAGATCAGGTCAGAGCTCTTCCTTTTTCAGCCACTTCCTACCAACTGAAAACACTAGGCCAGCATCTGCCAACTGGAGTGCATTCTGTGGTCACCAGGTTACCAGGAGCCAATCATGACCAGAGTTTCACGCACATGCCCACCCAACTGGCACCCAAGTACTTGATTCAAAATATCTCATCCCACTTGGGGCTGCCCAACCCCTCACACACAGGATCTAGGATTTCTGTTTCCATTCTTCAGCTGCTACCTGGAGCTTCTCTGGCTTTTGTAACTCTACAGATGCTTTTGGTCAACAGACTTTATAGAAAGCCCCAGGTAGTAAGGAGCTGGTTCCATGGGAACTCGGCTTCTCTGAGTCTTACAGCTTTCATTTTCTGATGGAACTTAGTTGTATCAAAATTGTTGACTATTTCTGTACCTTAATGTTTCTTTACTGTCTTTCAATCAAGTGTTCATTTTTACCTACAATTTGGGACTCTGGTCATACCCTCAATAAAGAATTCTGGCTGTTTGTCTTGAATGAGACTCAGGACTCCTCAAACTGCCACTTAAAAGAGGAGCCAAACTGGCCCCTTTCAACTTTATCCTCTCAGTCCCTTCTACAGAAGAAGTTTCTAGATTTTCCTTTTTTGTAACAACTTATAAAGCAGAAGCTTCTCCTGCAAAATTTAAGAATCATAAAATGGGGCTCCAAGGTCCTTATTTGATAAAGATGATAGAAACCGTTTAACATTCACCAAGTACTATGCGCTCGGCACTGTTCTAACTGAGGTACTCATCTAACCCTCAAATACAATCCCACCTTACATTTTACAGAAGAAAACTGAAATGTAGTTTACCAAAGTCACATTGTTGAGGAATTTAAGAGACAGGAGAGATCAAATGGGAAACAGGAGGATTTTATTTTTAGATGTACATCAACTCAGCTGATAAATCCAAAATGGTTCAGCAAAGGACAAAGGACAGGTTGTAGCTTTTATACATTTGTCCAAGAGGGCTAGTCTTCCATATAGACTTGTGGGTGGGCCGAAGGAGAACAAAAACAGTTTGTCAAGCTGTCTCTTTATTCTATTAAGGTTTTCCTTTGCTGTGAAAGAGAGTTGAGAGAGAGTTTGTGACCAACCCCACACAAAACATGTGAACACTGTACTGCAGTCACCAACAAAGTGAAAAGAAGGGCAAAGGAAGAAGGCAGGGAAGAGAAAAGGGATAAACAAGCATGAAATTGTATCATGTATGTGCAGCACAAAGAATGGAAACATGTCCTACAAGTGTGCACTAATAGAAAGCAGAGAGACCCTGCCTTGTCCTGGGGTTCTCAGCATCTTTTAGGAATGGAAATGGGGCTCAGTGGACAGAAGGGAGAGCATGAGCAGTTAGCACAGGGAGGACAGGGAGTGGTGCTATAGTGTGTGGAGTTCGGTGGGGAGGCCATCCCTTATATATGTACACAGCAAAACTTGCTGTGTACACTTATGCTGTTCTGCCCCCTTCTCCACCATCCACCCAACACTCTTTCCATTCTTTCTAACCTGGTACTTGGTACCCATTTAACAAAAGCTTCTCTTTCCTCCTGCTCCTAAGCCTCTGAAAATTAGCATTGTACTCTGTTGGTCTCTAAGAACTCACCTACCCTAGTTAGGTCCAGTAGAATTGCTGGGTGATAGAGTAGTTTACTTCTTTGTGAAACTGCAGTATAGTATTCCACCTCTGCCACACAATTTCACACTCCCCACAATGTGCAGGGCTCTAATTTGTCTACATCCTCAACTATCCTTCTTTTCTGGTTTTCTTTCCTTCTCTTTTGATACTAGCCATCCTAAGGGATATGAGAAAATACGTCTCTGGGGATTTGATTTTGGTTCCCTTGACAATTAGTCATAGTAAATATCTTTACATGGCTGATTATTTTTTGATGGTCTCTTTTATAATACACAAACTTTTCTTATGACTATACAAATCATGTTTTATTGATTGATTTACTTATTTTTCTTCACTTTTTTGAGAAAGGGTCTTGCTATGTTATTCAGGTTGGCCATGAACTTATGGAAATCCTCCTGCCTCAGCCTCAAGAGTGCTGGCATAACAGGTGTGCACCACTGCAGCTGGCTTTATTTATTTATTTATTTATTTATTTATTAAAAGATATGGCATGGATAAGTGAGGTCACAGGAGCTTGGACAGAAATAAGCAGGGAGTGTGTCTTCATTGCAGCCTAGGAGCGCTGCCTCCTGGTTTGCTTGTCAAACTCTGACAGATGTTTGACTCTCGCACCTGATCTTTCTCTGTACACCCAAGCTTCCAGAGGCAAAAGTGAACATTTGGAGGTTTCACTCTCATTATGCATAATAACAATTTTGTTTCAAGTAATCTTAAGTGTGGGTTAATGAGCTTTCTAGTTCTTAAGCTAAAACATTCTGAAATTGGAAGTAGGGCTTCCTGCTTCCTGCAGGAGTGGTCAAATATCCAAAAGCTCCCAGACACTTCTGCCTATGCCCAGGACTCTAACCACCCCACCGCAGCCCCTCACTAATTAGGATGAAGAATCTGAAAAAACATTTTATCATTTTCACACTTCCTCTAAAACTGTGGGATTATGGTTGTCATGTATGATTAATCTCATTTTTATGGAGATGAAAAATAAAAGAAGACTGGAGTTGTTCTATGAGATGCGTGATCATGAAGCTATCCTGATAGGACAGCTCAAAGGAGAAAAAGCAGCAGGAGGAAGGGGTGGGTGAGAAGGGGGAAAAGGAGATGAAGCTGTGGGAAGGTGTTTGACGGGGTCTAGTCTGTCTAAATGCAGAGGGTTGTAAGCATGTTATAGACAGGCAGTGAGAAATTATGAAAGGCTGGACTTGCACATGCAGAAGGACTGCTGCCAACCAGAGGCTGTTGGGTGCTGGGAACTGTGAAAAACTTACCACATCCATAATAACTTATGCAACCATGCCAAGGGACGCCTTCCTCTGGCATGTCTTCTCAAGGTCAGGAAGCACATTCGTGGTAAAGCTGAATGTGTATAAAATTCTCCTATGCTGTAGAAATACACTGTGAACATAACTGAAAGTAGATTTTATTTTAAAATTTTCTCTTTCTCTTTAGAATTTTTCCTTAATAGAAGATCCAAACTACCACCTAGAGAAAGACAGAACCTTTGTATGAGTTCCCTGTCCAGGAGAACAGCCAAATGGCTGGAGACATCATCTGCAGCTTCTGCAATGACCTTGGCATTAGCAAGAAATTATTTACTGCCACCAAAGGACCAGGCTCTGCTATGCTTGAGTCCCAGAGATTTGTCACAAGAGGTTGCCTACCTCCTGTCACAGCAGCTACAGCGTAGAGAAGCTCTGTGCTCTCAGCTGCAACTGCACCTCTGCAAAGGACAGTCAGCTTGCCACCAAGGCCTCCTGGGCAGGAAAATCCATCAAGTTTTGTAGAATGTGTTACTTCACTGAATCGCATATGTTCACAACTGCCAGAGCTGCAAAAAATGGCACTTTTGTGTCTACACAATAATATGCTTTATTGTTCCTTATCACATAGGCTGCAACTGTAGTAATGTATGAAATCAGAATAGTGAGAGGCCGCATAATTGTCTGCACTTCCTTTCTTCTGGCTCATTTTGTTCATGTATCATCAGTTTCTACCAAAGGAGTCCTTTTGTTGCTAATTCTATTTCTTTGTGTCTTCCCTGTGTGCAGATTTAGACATTTAATGTTCTCTTTTAACTGACTGAAATGATTGCAAGTTTTTTATTTAAAAATCACATATGCTTTAAAAAGATTTTTCTTACATGAAGGATTTTTTTTTAAGATTCAGTACTCAGGATGAAAACCCTGGGCAACCTACCATTGAGATTCACCCACAGCCCTTCTTACTGGGGGATGGGGCCTCCATGCTCCACGTGGGGTGCTTGACCTTGCCCTCTTGCTGCCTCACTCAGGCTCCATGTAGCTGGAATGCCATCCCTGCCCGTCCACACTGGACTAAAGAACACTGTGTTCTGCCAAAAGTCTACTGAGTCCAGGCACATGTATGCTATTTATGCACTGCTGGATTATGTTGTTTCCATGTTTTGATTAAGATTGTTGCATCTATGTTCTGGAATGGGAAGTAGCACTCAGTTTGTTTCTGGGCTTATCTTAGGGGTCTGGAATCTGCAAAATATTCCTACTCTCAATGAGATATGTTGCTTTAAATCTTGTGCAAAAATCTTGTGTTGCTTTGTATTTACATCTTCTATGATTTTCCTGGTAATGAGGTTCCTTCTGAAAGTCAAAGCAATGCTGGTGCCAGGTTCTGCTGCCTGGGGTCTGGGAAGCTGCCTGAAGGCTCCACCGGATGTCCCGCAGCTGATGTCACCTGATTCCCTCAGAGTTTGGCCACAGACATCTTCAGGCTCCTGGAAAACTCTAGGACTCAACTCCAACAAAAAGTGCACACAGTAAAGCTAGAGGAGGTTTGGCAGCCAGTGGGTGTCCACGGATAGAGTGCCAGGATTTTGAGGTTTTCTCTCTGTTTGTGAGATAGTTTATTTATATTATAAAAAAAAATCAAGACAATGCATAGTATTTCAAATATATCCATACACAATCAAATACAGCTGAGGCACATGTTTTTCTCAGGATAGATCACTACAGTGTAAATGTGTAGGTCTCTTGCTTTATTCTTTGTCTACAGCGCTGTATTGTGTTGGCCAAGCTCTCTGTACTCTGGCCACTGTGAAGCACCCTCCCTTTAGATAAACTGTAGATGCCCTGGTTGTGCTGTCTGAACTGTAGTAGCCTGTATTTTGCTTCTGTCTGTGGGCTCTGTTGCTGCTGGGCATTTCCTTGTGATGCAGATGACAACCATACAGATGACAGCAATGTCAAGTGTTTTGCTCACTGCTGTGAGAAGTAGTGAAACCACACAGTTCGGAGAACAACATGAATACATTGCTGTCCCTTTTTCACACTGTTGTCCAGTGGACTATAACCAGCATCACACCTGCAGATGGCGCCTGCATTCTGATGAACGCTGACACTCGCTGTGCACACAGAGGCCGTGTAACGCTGCTCAGGACAAGGTATGTGGGTTCCGCGGCACTGTGTTACCAATATCTGGACCACCTGAGGGCAGAAGATCTGCATGTCGTACTCCCTGAAACATCTGTTCTTGCAGAATGCCCACATCTACCGAAAGACGTGATTCACCTTTCTCCTGTCTCCAATATGATGCTTCTTTGATTTGACATGCATCGTCATAAGGTTTCCCATAGAAGCACAGACGCGTCTGAGGTTGGTTTGGGAATAGACAGTGTCGCGCATACGCGTGCACACACACACACACACACACACACACGCACACACACACACCTTATCCTCAGCATTTTCATCACCAAACTGGCAATATCACAGGTGGGTGTCTCCTTTTGCCTGGTTCCCCCGGAGCCCTCGACAGCCTCCATGTGGAGACCCTGACCCTGTGTGGTGGCACACAAGCCTCCCGCAACCTCTGGCTCTGGTGTGTGCACACAGCCTGTGCAGCGGGCACTGCCTCCGGGAGCTGTGGCCCTGCGGGCCACACCAGGCAAAGAAACGCATGTATTCGAGTTGACAGCTGAAGTTGCAAAGTCTCTGAGTTGCACCTTCCGGTCGGGTTTCCGGCGTTCCTGTCCTGGTCAAAGACGGCATCATAGAGGAGTTCCAGCTAGGCTGTTACAGGAGGGGTAAGCGCGTTCTGGTGGCCTGGACCGGAGGAGATGCACCGGCGGGACGGCAGGGGTCGCGGGGCGTGGGCGGAGCTGCCGCGCAGGACGCGGGGCCGGGCCGAGAGGAGGCTCGGGAGGCTGGAAGGAGCAACCGGGAGTCCAGCCGTGCCGGGAGCCGCAGGGCCTCTGTGAGGAGTCTCTTCTGCAGAGACCTCAGCGTCCGCAAGGAGGCCCGCCCACGCGGAGCGGTCCCGCCTGGGTCCGCTCCGGATCTTCCCACGCCCGGGTCCAGTCTCTCCCGATGTGGGTGTCGCGCGCCCCCTGGCGGCCGCTGTGTCAGCGCTGGCCCCGGCGCGGCAGCGTGGGCTGGGGTGGGATTCGCTCTTCTGGACCCGGTCGGATTTCAGGGCTGGGAGAGAGAGGCGGGAGCTACACCGCTGGGAGGGCTGTGGGGCCTATGCTGTTCAGAGCAGAGCTCCGCGGCCGCGCAGATTATCGGCGGGGGGGGCGGGGGGCGGGGGAGGCGCTGGGTCGGGCGGCAGCGACCCTCCTGCCTCAGTGATCTCCGGAGGATCCAGCCCGCAAGGGGTCAGGACCCGTGGATGGCGGGACAGCTGCGGGTGCCACTGGGGTCACATGGTCCTCCGATGTACACCAAAATAACCACAGTTAGTAGTTCTGCCTTCTTTGAAGTCTCTGCACTCAGGGCTCAGGAGCCGGCCTGGCCCTCTGTGACTGCTCCTGTGCAGGTGGGATCCCCCAGGATCTAAGCAGAGTTCTCTGGGGAGAGAAGATTTCATTCTCTGGAACCTGGAGGCATGACTAGGCTCATTTAAAATGTGTTCACTGCAAATCTCAAGGTGCTTCCATCAGGCTCCCACCTCCCCTCTGAAGTTCAGATCTTCCTTCCCGCCATGCCCTCTGTGGTCCACCCCTGCGTGGGTGACACAGACAGGTGCTGATGTCCCCAAGAATAAGAGAAGCCAACACAAGGGTCTGAGGAGTCCTGGCAGGATGCAGGCTCATGGGGGATGTGCCCATTTGCCTGTCCATGAGACAGTGGTGAGAAAGTCAGACCGAGCTGTATAAAACCAAGACAGATATGTGGAAAGAAATAACAGACTAGTGATCAATTATAGTTTGTGCAAAGTTTATTCATTTCTGTGTACATTACACCTCAAAGTAAAGATTCAAAATCTAATCAAAATTTACAAAGATTTTTTTCTCAGTAAAAGACTTAGCAAACTGTATATTCTTTATTAAGGTATAATTGATAGGTACAATGTTATTTATTTGTGGTGCTCAAACTGATATTTCGATTTATACACATATCATCACCTGCCATAGTTATCTTTTTGTGTGAGGTGAGAACATTTAAGATTTCATTTAGCAAATTACAAATACGGAACAATGTGTTTTTAATTATAGTTATTATGGAGTACATTAGATCAGTTAATCAAATGTCCTTTGAGTTCGTTTGTGTTGTGTGTGTGTGTGTGTGCGTGTGTGTGTGTATACTGCCTAGGCTGGCATGGACTCAAGCAATCATCCTGTTTCATCCTAAGTAGCTGGGAGTACTGGCATGTTTCTGCCACTGTGCCTGGCTGACTTCCTACTTTCTTAAGCCACGTCCTCTTCATCCATTCAGTATCAATCAACACTTGAGTGCTGGGTAGAATTGCCCTTTGGGACTATACCCTGACATCCTTGGTAAATCGTCCTTTTCATAGTGTGATGTTTAATCTTGACTATCAGCTTGCTTAGACTGAGAGACACATAGATTAGTAAAGCTCACCTGGGTGTGTCTGTGGCTGTTTCCAGAGTCTGGCCTGAGTCAGCAAACTGGGGGATGGAATCTGCCTTCCTTGTGGGTGGCACAGTCCAATCCATCTCAGCCTCCAGGTGGAACAAAAGTAGAAGCAGGAAGCCTGTCAATATGAGTAAGCTTAATTCAGACTAAGTCAGGTCTCTTCATACTGGGCAGGTTCTTCTTTTGCTGCTGCCATCTGTGAACACCAGACTGCAGCTGCTACAGCCTTTCAACACAGACTCACTTCAGCAGCTCTCCACAGAGTTTCCAGGCTTTGAGCTTAGGGCTGGGACTCATCGGTTCCTCTTCTTCTGAGGCTGCCAGCTGCTTGGGCTGACTAGTTGAAGAATTCCCAGGTCTGCAATGTGCAGATGATCATTGTGAAAGTGCCAGATCTGATCAAGTAAGACAACCTAATAATGCTCCGTAGATGTATACACTCTATTGGTTCTGTTCTTCTAGAGAACCCCAACCGATATAGATTTTGGTACTGACAGTGATTCTAGAGAAACTAATTGGAAGAATGAATTTTATTATCTAGTTTTCTGGAGTTGGCTCTTTCATTTGATTTAGCCCTCAGTTGCTATACAGTCTCTTTCTGATGGTCCAGAGTATAAACAGGACCGTGGGATGAGATATGCAAAGGAAATCAACCTATTCCTACTTCAACTCCTATATGATGCTTTTGAACATTTTTGACAACTAAGAAATAGAATGACTTTGGCTGGTTATCTTTTCCCTGGCTATTTATCTTTTCCCTTCATACAAGAGGGTATGGGGTACATATCAGGGTGTGAGATGATGGTAAAGAAGCATCAAATTTGGTCAGACTGAATTTATTGATATAGTTATATTAAGCAGAGACCCTGTATTTCATGTTGCAACTCCTGGAGTTAAAGCTGCTAATGGTTTATGTGATTGTTGGCTGACATGTAACAAATGTACACTGTGAATGGGCTACAGTGCTTAATGTCCCTTATTTTACTATTTTTAAAATTTTCTCTTTTTTATTTTTAGTGCTTTAAATTAAACCCAAGACCTTACACTAAGCTACATCGTGTGTGTGTGTGTGTGTGTGTGTGCACGCGCGCATGTGTGTGTAATTTTTTGAGCCAAGTTCTTCCTAAATTTTTTTTTTTTTTTTTTAGTTTTTCTCCGGTACCGGGAACTGAACTCAAGACCTTGCGCTTGCCAGGCAGGCACTTTTTGCCACTGAGCTAAATCCCCAGCCCCAAGTTCTTCCTAAATTACCCAGGCAGGCTGTCCTTGGACTGGTGCTCCTCCTGCCTCAGTCTGTGAAGTAACTGAAGTAACTAGGGTAAGAGGTACCATGGATGGCTCATTGGTTCAGTGCTGGTGATGGGATTGAAAAGCTCAGGGAAATAGGGGTGCTGCAGTGGACTCTACACTTGGAGGATGGAGATGATTTAACTTTACCGATATCTTAGGAAAGACGCTTGTGAGACCAGTGCCAGCATATTTGAAGAGCTCTGTACTTCCTCTTTTCACTATGCCAGATCTTACAATGGGGACCACAGCCACTCAGTTGGGAAACTTAGATGTGATGAGCATAACTGGACCCTGGAATGTCAGGAACAACTGGAAGCACTCAACCACAGAAGACAAGGTAGGTGTACTTAGCATAATTAAAAGCAGGGCAAAGCAGTGGTCAGAATGGTCTGACTTGTGTTGATTCATGGTATTGGCTAACTAAACACTAGTGTTCCCATAAATGAAATGGTTAGGAAACCTACTAAATTATGCCAGACCTTTATGAGCAGAAAAATTTCCAGAGCTAATGACCATGAATGTATCCTGAATCATCAAAGTAGAATCATGTCACCCAACCAATTCTCAGAGTTGAACCAGTATACAGATCCAAGAATCCTCAACTGAAGGACAGGCTAAGTCCCTGAGAGGAAGGACCTTGTACCTGCCAAAGAATTGTACTGTGTCCCATACTTCCTATAAGGGACATAGGGCCCTTCCTAGTGTAAGTATACATGGGGGCAAAAGAAATAATCAGATCTTTTAGAAACTACTAGACACTGGTTCTGAGCCAGTGCTGATTCCAGGAGCTCCAAACTACCATTGTGGCCCTCCTGTCATGGAGCTCAAGTGATCAATAGATTCTTTGCTAGGGTCCAACCCACTGTAGAGCCTGTGGGTCCCCAAACACATCTTCCAGTCATTTTTCATGGTCCCAGAATGCATGCTTGAATAGAAATATTCAGCAGATAGAAATTTGGGACAGAAATACTTGGGAAAATTTCCACATTTGTTCTTTACCCTGTGGAATGAAAGTAATTATGGTGGAAGAATTCACATGGAAGCCATTAGAGCTGTATTGCCCAGGGTAAAAATGAAATATAAAACAATATTGCATCCCTGGAAGTATCACAGAGATTAGTGCCACTATCAAAGGCTTGAAAGATGCAGAGGTGGTAGTTCCCACCACATCCCTATATATGTCTCCCACTTGGCCTGTGCAGAAGACAGCTAATTCTCAGAGAACAGCAGTGGGTTCATGTAAGTTTAATCAAGTATTGACTGTAATTGTAGGTGCTCTACCAGATGTGGTTTCTTGCTTAATCACGTTAACACATCTCCTGGTCCTGGTACACACCTACTGATCTGGTCAATGTGTTTTACTCATACCTGTGCATCAGACCTAGAAGAATCAATTTGCTTTCAGCTGGCAAGGCCAACAATAAACTTTTATTTTTCTACCTCAGGGTTATGTGAGCCCTCCAGCCTTGTGTCATACTTAGCATGCAGGGAGCTTGATAATCTTCTCTTCTACATAATTATATGATGGCATTATGTTGACTGGATAGAGTGTTGAGAGGTGGGAATCACTCTAGACTTGTTGTGAAAGCATTTGCATGTCAGAAGATGAGAAATGAATCTAACCAAAATTCAAGGTCTGTCTTAGTTACTTTCTAGATAGTTGGAAGAAAATACCCAACACCTGCAACTTAAAGAAGGAGAAGTTTATTTTGGTTCACATTTCAATCCAAAGTCCACTCATTCCAAGACAGGATGGCATGACAGAGGGACATGGCACAGGATAGCTACTCATAGAAAGGCAGATAGGAAGCACAGTCCATGGAGCAGAAGCAGAGGGAAGTACTATATAACCTTCCAGGTTAAATCCACAGTGACTCACCTCTTCCAACCAGTCCCCACCTCCTAATTGTGACCAGCTATAATGCCCCTATAATCCAATCACCTTACAAAGGTGTTGCCTAGGATCACATGAGGCTTTCAGGGGATGTCTAGATGTATACCTTAACAAGATAATTTTGCCTCAGTGAAATTTCTAGAGTTCAGTGGTGTACAGTATACTAAGATATCATTTGTTGGTTGAAGGAGTTGTTGCACCTGGACCCTCCGAAAACAAAGAGTGAAACAGAGGGCCTACTGGGCTTATTTGGATTTTAGAAGCCAGACATTCCTTGCTTGGGTATGTTAATTAGTCACAGAGTGACTCAGCAAGCTACTAGATTTGAGTGAGGCCCAGGACAGAAGGAAACTCTACAATAAGTCCAAGCTTCTATGCAGGCTGCTCTGCCTCTTGGCACATAGGACCCAGCAGACCAACTGTACTGGAGGTCTCTGTGGGAGACAGAGATACTATTTGCTGCCCCTAGCAGATACCATGGGTGAATCACAAAGAGGCCTTTGGAATTTTGAGCCAAGAACCTCTCATCATGTGTAGATAACTACTCGCATTTTGAGAGTCAGCTGTTGAAGTGCTGCTCTTGGGCCTTAGTGGAAACTGAATACTTGGCCATGGCCACCATGCTGCCCATCATGAACTGAGTCCTCTCTTACTTATAATATAGCCGCTTTCTTGAGCATCACTAGAAGGCAGTGATAAAGACAAATCTTCAGGTGGACACAAAGTTGGGCAGTACTGAGTTACACCCCAACTCCTTGGAGGTCACACATACGGGCAGTCTGTGGTTGCTGTTTGAGCGGCCTGGGTCTGGCTCCTGTGTGCATTCTGAACTGACTAGACAAGCAGAACGAGGTGGGCTGCAACCCGCTGCCACCATGGTTCCCAGCTGAAAGCCGAGGAGAGAGCCAGATATTTCCCGTGTACTTCCTGGGGGCAGAGCGGGTGACCCAAGACCCCGCCACCATTACAGTCTGATTCTCTGCCCTCCATGCACCCATGGCAGACAGGAATTCCTCACCCAGAAGGCTGGTGAACTGCTCTCACCAGCGTTTGTGTGTGGGCCCTCCCTGTGCCAAGTGAGCAGATTATCCAAGAGCTGCTGGTACTGTAGTTCAAGTCTGTGCTTTACTTGCATCCTCACCTCCTGGAGGTCACAGACAGAGATAGTCTGTGATTGCTGTTCATGCGGCCAGCATCTGGCTCCTGTATGTGTCCTGAACTGACTGGAGACTCAGAATCAGGGGGTCAACAAACTGTTGACCCTGCAGTCTATGTCTTGATTTTGCATGTACTCTGAACTGCCTGAGAACACAGGTCTACTGGACCAGGATTTTCACACCAGTCATACCACCAGATATGATCCAGATCTGTTATTTCCTTGCTGAATTTTGTCCTGTTGACCTGTCTTTTTGTGTCAATGAGGTGTTGAGGTCCCCTGTTACAATAGTGTTATTAATTATATGGGTTTTCACCCCCATTAAGATTTGTTTTTTATAATTTGGAGCTCTGATATTTGGTGCATACATATTTATGATTGTTATTTCATCCTCTTGCAGTTTTCCCCTGACAAGTATGTAGTGACCTTCTTTATCTCTTTTGATTGTTGTTGGTTTGAAGTTTACATTGTCTGCAAGTATAATAGCTACACCTGCTTTTTTCTGGATTTCTGTTGCATGGAGGATTGTTTTCCATCCTTTGACTTTTAGTCCATGAATTTCCTTTTGAGTAAAATGTGTTTCCTATATATAGCATATCGTTGGATTTTGTTTTTTAATCCACTCTGCCAGTCTGTTTCTTTTGACTGGAGAATTGAGGTCATTTACATTTATAGTTATAACCAATATGTATTGATTCATCATTGTCATGTTATTTACTTGCATTGGTGTCCTACTTTTTCTATCTGTTTACTTGCTTGCTCTTCTTGACGATTCCTCTCTACTGTTGTTCTTGAAATTGAGGTCAGATTATTCTCTGTCTAGAATAACTTTAAGTACTCTTTGCAATGCTGGTTTGGCACTCATAAAGTTCTTCAATTGTTCTTTGTCATGAAAATATTGTATTTCTCCATTGAATTTGAGGGATAGCTTGTCAGGGTATATCAGTTTTGTTTGGAAGCTCTTTTTTCTCAGGCCTTGCAATACTTCACTCCAAGCTCTTCTCTATTGGATGGTGTGTGCTGAGAAGTCTGCAGTGATTCTGATGGGCTTTCCTCTATAGGTAATCTATTTCTTTTCTCTAGCAGCTTTTAATATTCTGTTCTTTTCCTGGAGATCTGGGATTTTGACTATCATATGTCTGAGTGTAGTTTTATTTCTGTTGTGGTTGGTTGGAGTACTATGTGCCTCATTTACCTGGATATCAAGTTCTGTTTCCATGCTTGGAAAATTTTCTGCTATTATTTCTGCAAATATTCTTTTAATGTCAGTTGTGTTGCCTCCTGCTGTTTTTTGACTCCTATTAGTCATACATTATTCCTCCTTGCCTCATCTTGAAGCTGTAGAATTGACTTTTCCTGGATCCTTGTTGATTTTACAAGATCATTTCTTTATGGTTGCTAGCTGCCATGCTGTCTTCAAAATCTGAAATTCTGTCTTCAGCTTCACTCAAGCGATTTTGGCAGCTTTCAATGGAAGCTTTGATTTCCTGGAAGTCTCTTTGAATCTGGTTCATGTGTTCTAAGTCCTTTCTATAGTTTTCATTTAATGTATCCATCCATTGATTTGTTCTTCTATTTTCTTATATGTTTCTTCTTCAGATGTTCAGAGCAGTTCTTTCATTATTATTGTCATTTCATTTTTTGCCTGAGAGATTATTTCTGATCTCATCTCTTCTATGGCCTTATGGAGTTGTTTCTTCACTTCCATTGCAATCATTTCAGCAATTTCAGGTGTGTGTTTACCAAGTTCTCCTATGCCGATGTCTCCTGGACTTGATCTGAGTGGAGTAGAGTTCTGAGATTGGGTTTTAGTCCTTCGTTTTGTCATGTTTGATACTGGATGCAGAAAGCTCAGTTTCCCTTTTCACTGGCTGCACAACAAAGGCCCCTAGTGTTCCTGGTTTGCCTCCTGGTCAGGTTTGCCCCTCAGTGTCCGCTGAAAAGCACTACTTAGTCTGGAAGTTTCTGGCAGTTGTTGCTTTGTATCTACTTATCCCAGGTTTCAGATACAGACATTGGTGTCAGCTGATGGCAGACCATCTGATCCAGCATCCCCTTGCAGTTCAGGGCACGTGCATGGCCCAGACTTGGGTTGCACTGGTGTGACAATCCTGGTCCAGTGGACCTATGTCCCCAGGCAATTCAGGGTACAGGCAAAACCCAAATCGAAACTGCAGGGTCAACAGTATGTGAACCACCTGATTCTGTGTCTCCAGTCAGTTCAGAACACATACAGAAACCAGATGTGGGCTGGATGGACAGCAATCACAGACTGCTCGTGCCTGAG